AAACCATGATCTCAGATCTCAGTCTCTTAAGTAGCTAGGATTTTAGGTGTAAACCACTTGTGCTTGGCAACACAGGCTTTAGGTTAAAAAAAAAGTATTGGGGTTTGGATTTGGTGCCAGTGACTCCTAACTATAATCCTAGCTACTCAGGAGGCTGAGATCTGAGGATCATGGTTTGGAGGCAGCCTGGTCAGCAAAGCCCATGAGACTCTCCAGTAAACTACCAAAAAGCCAAAGTGGAGCTGTATCTCAAGTGGTAGAGCACTGGCCTTGAGCAAAAGAAGCGAAGGGTAATACCCAGGCCCAGCATTCAAGCTCCAAGACCAGTATACCTCCACCCCAAAAAGGAGTTGAATTCCACCCACATCATGCAATAGTTACATGAACCTGGTCAGCACTTAAAACTCTCTAAGCCTATTTAAGTATTAGATGCAAGTTACAGTCTAAGGGGCAGGGAACCTTTTTTCTGGACATGCTTGATCCTCAAAAATTACATTACTAGCTGAGTACCAGTGGCTCATGCCTGTAATCCTAGCTACTCAGGAGGCTGAGGCCTGAGGCTCACAGTTCGAAGCCAGCCTGAGCAGGAAAGTACCCATGACAATTATGTCTCCAATTAACCATTCAAAGTGGCACTGTAGCTCAAGTGGTAGAGCACTAGTCTTGAGTACAGAGGCTCCAGAACAACAACTCAGGCCCTGAGTTCAAGCCCTACAACTGACCAAAAAAAAAAGGAAAGAAAAGAAAAAGGAAAAATTATGTTGTTGCTGGGCTCACACCTGTAATACTAGCTATTTAGGAGGCTGATATCTGAGGATTTCAGTTTGAAACCAGCCCAGGCTGGTTTAACCAGCAAAAAGCCAGTAGAAATGTGGTTCAAGTGGTAGAGTACCATCCTTGAGTAGCTAAGGGACAGCACCCAGACCCTGATAAACTGCAATACTGGCACCAAAAAAAGAAAAAGTTATTTTTATGATTTACTTCATATAAATGTACACCGTTATTTAAAAAGGCTCCTTAATTTGTTGAATTGTGAGTGTCCTGCCTGCAGTTGCCTTGGCAGAACTAGACCAAATGATTTCAGCATGGAGACCAGCCATTCATCAACCTGTTATATTATAGTGCTGTGGTGACAATTAACTGAGAAGACATTTGTTACCCATTATAAAAGTATTCAATAGTTACCTACTAATAGCTTCAAGTAAGTTATTTCCAAACTATACAATAGTTGTACAAACTAATTGTGATAACCACTTTACCTTGAGGACTCAGCAAAACTGGATTGGAATTTAGTATTCTTCCCAAATGCCAAGTCCTATATTCCCTATCCCACCCCTACATCTTCTCCCATATGTTTTGTTTTTTGCCAGTCCTGGTGCTTGAACTTGGGGTCTGGGGACTGTCTCTGAGCTTTTTTTGCTCAAGGCTAGCACTCTACCACTTAAGCCACAGCACCACTTCCAGCTTTTTGTTTATGTGGTACTGAGGAATCGAACCCAGGGTTTCATGTATGCTAAGCGAGCACTCCACCACCTTGCCACATTCCCAGGCCTTCCATATGTTTTTTTTGAGGACAGGATAGAATAACCTAAGAAGTCTTTCTTATTTTTCAGGGAAGTTTATCAGGCAATGACAACACTCAACATAGATAAAGAAGGTCATCAAGAACTGCTTCAGGAAATCAAGAACAAGGTAAGTATAAACTTTTTTCTAGAGAATATTCAGGAGCATCAAAGACCCATTTTCTCCTAAGTATGTACATATACTTTCCCTCATCACAGAAATACTCCACAACTTTAAACATAGATATATCATATGAAGATGCAAAACACTTGTACAAAATTGAGTTATAAAATTCTAGTCACAGAAAGAAAAGGTAAAATTCTAATAGTCCCATGAAGGAGGAATCCTCAAAATCAGAGGTTGTTTTTAAAGTTTCCTTTCCATCCCATGTTTTTTTTCTTCACTATGCTTTACAAGGCCAGGCCTGTGGGAAGAATTCAAAATTCAATAAATATACAAGCTTTTTCATAGAAATATGAAGTGAGTCATAGTAACAGAGAGACAAGCAAGGAACAGCTAGAAGAAAGGTTCCTCATCTATGCCTGAAATCCAACTTGTTTTTTCTCTTTTGCATTAGATATTAGAAAGAATTTTCTAAATTTTCCTTCTCCTTCTTAAACTGAGCCCTATTTGCCAAAGGTATAATTTTAATAAGCATGATAACCAGTTACTTTATTAATGTTTTTATTGCCTAGTACAGTTGTTTTTAACCTCCTTCTTGTCTAATCTAGATTCAAGCGCTAAACCAAAAGGACTTGCTGAACCAGAAAATACTCAAAATGGAGATGGTCGTAGGAAAAGTGAAGGAAGAAGCAAAACGTATTTACTCACATCCCAAAGAAGGGAAAAAAACATTAGATTTCCCTACTTTTCTCCAAGATACTTTTCAAGGTAGGTTTCCTAGGTTGTTGACTCCTTTAAAACAACAACAACAACATCTTTTTCAGAATCTAGATGTTTGGGACTAAGTGGGGAGCCTTGAAGTTAACCCTTCCTTTTCTTGGTTATCTTTTTTCTTCTTCCTCAGCCTTTCTGGTTTTGTTGTTTTGTTTTCCTCTTGTCTACCAGGTTTTTAAATTCATTTGTGGTTTTGTCTAAGGTACCGCTATTGGATATGATTTAAAAGTTTGCTGAAGGGCTAGAAGTGTGGCTCAAGTAGAACAGATGCCTACTGAGTACAAAGCTCTGAGTTCAAACCTTAGTTCTGAAAACAAAACACAGATAAAAAACTTAGGTCAAAAAAAGACATATAGGAAGTGGCACTGTGGCTCAAGTGGTAGAGTGCTTGCCTTGAACTGAATCTCTGAGGGACAGTGCCCAAGCCCAGAGTTCAGTCTTTATAAAAACAAAACAGAAAAATCTACTGTGTATCTTAAGCAACCCCCAAAAGTATCAGCTTTGTTTTTACAATTAACTAGTGCCCTACCACTTGAGCCACAGCATCACTTCTGGCTTTTTTCTGCTTATGTGGTGCTGAGGAATCGAACGCAGGTCCTCATGCAAGCACTCTACCACTAAGCCAACTTCCCAGCCTCTACAATTAACTTTTTTTTTTTTTTTTTGTCGGTTGTGGGGCTTGAACGCTGGGTATGGACACTATCTCTCAGCAATTCAGCTCAAGGCTAGCGCTCTACCACTTGAGCCACAGCGCCACTTCCTACAATTAACTTTTAAGAGTGGTTATCTCTGGAAAGAGAGGTTGGAGGAAAAGTTACCAACATCTATGCTTTATGCTATAAAAATGTATAAAATCTCAGGACATCACCTAAACGATGAGGGTGCAGAAATCAAGCAAAATATACTTACAAAGTTTGCGTGCCCAAGCATAACATCAGTCACTCAGCCAGCTGCCTACCAGCCACCACCCCAAACCCAGGTCTTTGGGTTCCAAGTCCAGTATTCTTTCTGGTATGCCAGCTCTTTTCCACCAACCACTGATATTAGTCACTTGTCAGATTTGGGGGAATTTCTTCCAACTGCCAGAAAAAATAAAAAGTGGAAAGTAACTTGAACACCAGCCTTTCTTCATGGCCTCATTGCTAGTTATTTATTAAGGCTAATGACAGCATAACTGGGTAATATGCTGCCCTTTTGGGAGCAGCACCAGCCACTGATTGAGAATTGAGCAGAGCTGGTCGCCGGTGGCTCATGCCTATAATCCTAGCAACTCAGGTGGCTGAGATCTGAGGATCACGGTTCAAAGCCAATTCAGGCAAGAAAGTCCATGAAACTCTTATGTCCAATTAACCACCAGGAAACGGGAAGTAGCACAGTGGCTCAAGTGGCAGAGTGCTCATCTTGAGCTGACGAGCTCAGAGACAGCACTCAAGACCAGAGTTCAAGCCCCATGACCGACAGAAAAAAAAACAAAAAAACCAGAAACAATATATCCTCTAAAGCTGATCCTGTTAATGGGAAATAACTTTTCTGCAAGTATTGTCCTGTTTGGGATTCAAATAGCAAAACTAAAGTGAGTAAATTACCCCCGCACCAATGAGTTATTCTTCTTGGGGGGGAGGGGGGGTTTGGGGAGGGTTTACCAAGGAACATAAAGCCTCAAGTGTACTAAGAAATTGCTTTACCACTTGTGTCCCAGGCTTTCTTCTTTAGTAAGTTAACATGTTTTTGTGTTGTTTTGGTGCCAGTCCTGGGGCTTGAACTCAGGGCCTGGGCACTGTACCTGAGCCTTTTTGCTCAAGGTTAGCACTCACCACTAGAGCCACAGTTGCACTTCTGGCTGGTTTTTTTTTTTTGGGGGGGGGAGGTGGGGGGTTCCGGTCATGGGGCCTTAACTCTTGGCCTAGGCGCTGTCCCTCAGCTCTTCTGCTCAGGCTAGTGCTCTACCACTTGAGCCACAGCGCCACTTCTGGCTTTTTTCTTTTTTTGCTTATGTGGTGCTGAGGAATCAAACCCAGGGCCTCATGCATGCAAGGCAAGCGCTCTACCACTGAGTCACCTTCCCAGCACCTGGCTGTTTTTTATTTTTAGTAGCTAATTGGAGATAAGGAGGCAGGAATTTTCCTGCCTGGGCTGGTTTTTGTTTTGTTTTGTTTGCTAGTCCTGGGGCTTGGACTCACAGTGTGGACACTGTCCCTGAGCTTCTTTTTGCTCAAGGCTAACAATCTACCACTTGAGCCACAGCACCACTTCCAGCTTTTTCAGTGTATGTGGTACTGAGGAATCGAACCCACGGCTTCATGCATGCTAGGCGAGCTCTCTACCATTGAGCCACATCCCCAGCCCCCTGGGCTGGTTTTGAACTGCAATTCTCAGATCTCAGGCTCCTGAGTACCTAGGATTACAGGCATGAGCTACCAGCTAACATGCTTCTTTTATATGTTGCAACTTCTCCAAATTGCCTTTCAAGTCATTATAGATTTTCCTTATGTCCCTCTTCCTCCTGTATTTCTTCAAACCAACCAACATAACAACCTAGGCTTAGAAAAAGAAAACATTTCTTGTCACTTTAATAACTCTTCTAATAGTCATAGAAACATAATAACAAACAGCATACCAATCCCAAGCCCTCTCTCCCCCCAAAAAACCTGATGAAAAAACTCAAATGAAAAATGCACTTGCAAAAAACTTCGAATGTGTCAAGCAGTATGACCCAGTCAGTGTTACACAGTACCCTGAAGGCTGAGGAGGATGAAGTTGGTGTTCTGAAATGATCAGGGATCAAGGTTATTTGTCAAAAAAAAAAAAAAAAGTTTGTTTTTCCTCTAATTTCTGCTTTTAATTTTTTACCTAGATGAAATGGTTCTTTCTAGAAGACCATCTGAGATCTGTAACACTGAAGCAGTCATAAAGGTATGTATGACCACACTGGTGATTATCAAGGTAAGGAATTTTTCTTTTTAAAAAAGTGACAATGGCAGTAGAGAATCAGTTCTGCAATATTTCAACCATCAACAAGAAACTAGTTTAGAGTTAGAGGCATCTTGGTGATCAGCAGCCCCTTATCATACAACATGGTTGCTAAAGAAAGCTGGTCTTCCACATTGTCACACGGCAGATCTCCTACTCTTACAAATTCTGGGTAGGAGCGAAGCAAGAGTTCCATAGCATCAGCTTGCTGGGGGTATATTTCCAAGCACTTAGGTTCCTCCAGATGATAAACACGAGAGTTTTCCACCGTGTAATAGAGGAACAAATGGCCTCCCTCGCCCACCATCCGAGCTATGCCATCCTGCAGCATGTGGACTTCTGTTTCTGTTGTCAGCTGGGCCCCCACATTTACAGGTTCTCCAGCCTCCCAGCGAATTGGCAACCCATAAACACTTAGTGCTCTCTCCCTATCAGTCAACACCGGGGGCAGAGAATCGTGGATGAAGTCTTTGGCTCGCTGGTCAGCCACAGCATCAACAGGAGCAAAGTGTCCCAGGCGGGCAACCAAGACCCGCACCTTTTCCATGAAAGCAGTTCTTCGAGGATCTTTTGAATCTGAATGCTGGGCTCCCATGTAATCCATGAAGTCTCGGGGCAGACCCCTCCGAAATTCCACGTTTTCTTCCATTGCAGCCTGAATTGCCAGAGGCAGGACGGCTTCCACGAAGTCACCCCAGGTATTGCGCTGGTATGTAGACAAAGTGAGGTGCAGGGAGTGCACCCCATCCTGGCATTCTGCTTGATGAATGAAGCCCCGAGGAAAATAGAGCAAATCTCCAGATTCCAACACAGTCTGAAGCACCGGCTCGCCAAGATCTTCCTGGCTGAAGTTGGGGCTAGATATCAAGGCCAGTTCTTCAGTTGGAACGCGAGGTCTGTAGACACGCCAGAGTTTCCTACCTTCCAGCTGCAGCACAAAAGCCTCGATGTCATCGTAGTGAGGGGCAAAGCCCTGCGAGTTGGGGGGAGTGAGGTAAACATTGGAGCCTGCCATGCTTCCAAACTGTTCCTGGAGCACCGCCAAAAACTGCCAGACGGTGGCAGAGAAAGCCTGCGGACAAAGGAGGCGCAAAGAGCAGCCGGCCTGGTACAGGGACCACGCCGCGGCGGGCAGGGCGCGACCCGGTGGGTTTAGGGTCTCGCGGCGCCCGTTGACGTAGCGCGCGGCGTCCAGGTGCTGCCCAAACTGCACCTCCTCCTGGCGAAGTATGGCGTCCAGGTCGGCCGTAGAGAAAAGGCCCTGGTAGTAGGCGTGATCCTGCCGCCGCACCAGCACCGCCTCCCGCTCCCAAAGGCGCCGGTAGAAATGGTCTGGCGGCACGGGCGCGATAAGCCACTCGAAGAGGCGCGCCGCCCGCCGCCGGCTGCTGGAGATGCGGTTCAGCTCCGCCAGGATGCGCTGCAGCGGGGAGTCCCGGGGGAGCTCCCCTCCCGCCTCGTCCACCTGCGGGCCCGACAGCGTCCCGGGCGGAGCGCTGGCCGCGAAGTGCTGAGCAGCGCCGCGGAGGGCCGCGGGATCGGCCGGGGCCAGCCCCAGGCGCGCGGCAGGCGAGGCCTCCAGCAGCTCTGCCGACCCCCGCAGGCCACGCGGCTCCCGCCGGCCCGTGTCCCAGACGGCTGCAGCCGCAGGCCCGCTAGGCAGCGCCGCCCCCGCGCCGTCGGCCGTCGGCTCCACTCGCGAGTCCTCGGAATCCTCGCCCGGCGGCGCCGGAGCCCTCAGTGCAGCCACGCGGGACGCGCCATTTCTCCTCAGCTGCCTCCGGACCTTCCTGGGCCTCAAGGGCAGAGCCAAGACCGACCCGCTGTGGGGCTGGGGCTGGCGCCGGCGCCTGACCCGCCCGCGCCTCAACTGCCCCACGCTGGGCTGGAGCCCATCCATGCTGTGAGACCAAACTACGAGTCCCGTGGGGAGCTGACCGGAAAGAACCTCAGCCCGGTTCCCGCTGCGGTGCGTTCTGGGAAGGGGGCGTGGCTTCACCCTGTCGGGGGTTGGCCACGCCTACCATCCTCTTCCAGGCCCCTCCCCTCTCCTGCGTGGGTCATTCTCTGAGGGACAGGATCCCTGGCAACTTATGAAGACTTCACATTCAGGAAGCAATTGAAAAATTAAGTTTCTAGTCACTCTAGGAGGAAAACAATTGGCCACTTCTAGTCTGCATATTGCCACGTTCCTCTGCTGTCCTCATTTATGTGAACAGAATTATGTCCCAGCGGCCTCCCACTATTAAGTGCCCTAATTCTTTTTCATTGAATGTTACCAGGCAAAGTTCGAGATTCTACACAAATCCCAGGTCCAACTAGTCCACTTTACACATAACTTCACTGATCGAAGCTCTAAGAGTTTCTGCCCCTAACTTCCTTTCTTCGTTAGAAATCTTTTTTTTTTTTTTTTGGTCGGTCATGGGGCTTGAACTCTGGGCCTGGGCGCTGTCCCTGCGCTCTTCAGCTCAAGGCAAGTGCTCTACCGCTGGAGCCACAGCACCGCTTCTGATTTTCAAGTGGTTTATTGGAGATGAGAGTCTCACGGACTTTCCTGCCCAGACTGGCTTTGAACCTCAATCCTCAGATCTCAGCCTCCTGACTAGCTAGGATTACAGGCGTGAGCCACCGGCGCCTGGCCTTCGTTAGAAATCTTTGCAGTCGGTTACCCTCTCTCTGAAAAATAACTTAGAAACTTCTGTATGCCCATTCTTGGTGTTTGTCCTTCCTACCATCTGAGGTTTTCTTTCATTAGCTACAGCTTCTCAAGAGAATCTGCCATCTTTATTTTCCCTGATGATTAAATAAACCACTTAAATCTGGGCCTCTCATTTAACAGACAATGTGGTAAGCATAATGGTGTTACACTTGAGAATGTGGTTACTGTCTTTGTGCACCTATTGTTGCATTGTTTTGGATTATTAACATTGTTGTTTTGAGACAAGGACTCTCTACGTAGCCCAGGCTGGCCTTAAACTGATGATTTTCCTGTCTCAGCCTCCCCGGTGCTAGGATTATGGGCATACTCAGTCCTCTATTGTTGCTTTTTTTTTTTGTTTTTGGTCTGTTCGTGGGGCCTGAACTCTGGGCCTGGGTGCTGTCCCTCAGCTCTTCAGCTCAAGGCTAGCGCTCTACCACTTGAGCCACAGCGCCACTTCCAGCTTTTTTCTTTTTGCTTATGTGGTGCTGAGGAATCGAACCCAGGGCCCCATGCATGCAAGGCAAGCGCTCTACCACTGAGCCACCTTCCTAGCCCTCTATTGTTGCTTTATCTGTAAAGTTTACTAATATTCATATGAATCATGAATATTAGTAAGGAAACGTAATTTTTGTCATTGTGAATAAAGTTTGTTAAAATGTTTCCCAAATGCCTTAACCTCCTGAATGTTGGGATTTCAGGTGAAGCAAGTGAGCAGGATAGCAGTCAGGAATGGGGAGCTTACAATTCTGTTTGCATATGTCCCATGGAAGCTTAAGTAAATCAATGGTGACCCATATCAGACAAGGTTGAGCTGGTATAGCTGGCATAATACCTGAACAAGGTACTTGGCTGAGGACCAAAGCAGGGGCTTAAACAAACCTACATTCTCCAAAGTCCTGTGCTCTAGTACAAGGCTACAGGATCAAGAAGCATGGACAGCAGGAGAAGCACTCTCTTCCTAATTGACACAGAGACAGTGTTTGCTGCAGAACCCTGATATTGGATCTCTTGGGGGAGATATAGATAAAGAGGACATATCACATTTGTTACTGGGAATTGAATTGCCTTTTCAAAAAGAGTGGTTTTCAGTTGACCGAGGACACATCCTACATAGAGGAATATACTAGGTTTCCCTGTCTGTGTAGCTGGCTGTGCTCAGCTTCTAAGAGCTGCTTATCATTTCCATGTGCTCTACACATTATCTCCTTCTCCCAGTATTTCCTGTGACCTCATCCTCTTCTTTTTCCAGCATCTTGGGATTTCCTCAAATACAGAATCTTGTTGATAGCTCTGTCCTCTGGTTTCCTCTGGAACTAGGAGTTGCCTTTTGGAACCTGACTATCTTTAATTTCATCAGTTTTTCCCTGAGGCATTACTAGGTTCTTACTATAAAAGGAGCTATTAATAACTCTGTGTGTGTGTGTGTGTGTGTGTGTGTGTGTGTGTGTGTGTGTGCACGCATGCTGGTCCTAAGGCTTGAACTCAGGGCCTGGACATTTTCTCTGAGCTATTTTTGTTCAAGAGTAGAATTCTTCCACTTGAGCCACAGCTCCACTTCCAGCTTTTTTTAAATAACCATTTTCATATAGACATAATTTAATAATTTGGAGTAATGTTCTTAATATATTGTTGAATGGAGAAAAGGCAGATAAAAGTAAGAATTACATTTGAATCCTATTTATTGCTTACAGATGTGTGTCAGAGTGTATGTATATGTTTATCCATACATCCACATATACTACTTAAAACACTTTAGAAATCTTTGTTACAATAGATAGCGATTAATAGATCACTTAAACTTCATTAAACTTTTAGTATCCTTTGCTCATTAATTCTACTCCTAGAAATCTATCTTTCAAAAATATTGACCCTAGCCAGGTGCTAGGGGCTCATGCCTGTAATCCTAGCTACTCAGGAGGCTGAGATTTGAGGATTGAAATTCAAAGCCAGCCCAGGCAAGGAAAGTACATGAGACTCTTACCTCCAATTAACCACCAGAAAACTGGAAGCAGTGCTGTGGCTCAAGTGGTAGAATGCCCATCTTGAGCTAAAGAGCTCAGGGACAGTGCCCAGGCCCAGAGTTCAAGCCCTACAACCAACCAAAACCCAAACGACAACAACAACAACAACAAAAACATAGTTGTGATTTTTTTAAACAAAAACAAATGAACACCATGGTATTATATAATTTTAATTTTTAATTTATAATACAGTTTGGATATCTTTTCTTGGCACTTTTTAAAAGTAATTGTTTAATAGTACATATTTGAATAAGTTCCAGTTTTGAAATATTACAAAATTGTAATTCGTATATGATTATTACATATATATGTAATCATATATACCTCATATATATAATCTCATATACATATATATTTATATTTATGTCATGTCTAGGGTCAGGGCAAATTCTTACTAACTTAAGTAACTCACAAAGTTATTCTACCAAACCATGGTTAAAGAGATTTTCACTTTGGGTCTATCTTCTCATAACTTGCTCATATATTACTATTTCTTTCCAGCCTGTGTTGCCCCCAACACCAAATCCCTGGCTACGAAGTCCACTTGTAGCCCTTAACATGCGAAGAAGTCGGCCACCATTAGATCTCCGTACCATCCGGGAAAAAAGGATTGCTATGGGACCTTTTGGGACTCCCAGTGAGGAGTTGTAGCTGGATAATACTCAGACTTTTTTCCAGACTCAAGACTTCTCCCTTTGGAAGGAAAGATGCTCATGGATAGACTGAATGCTTCTCTTGCTCCAGGAAGCAAGCAGTGCTGGACCAGGTCACATTCAGTCTCTTTCATTGACTTGTTACAATCTTCTTGTTACTATATTTATAAAGAAAAATTAATTAACAATCTACTTGATTTCTTAATGTGTGTCATTTACATAGAGGTTTAAAAAAGTCTGACATCACATTAGGTGACACAGTATATTTTCCCATACCTTTCAAAGGTCATATTCTAAATACAGCCAGAGCCTTAGGCGAGAAATAAAATTTTTGTACAGGAGAAATGTCAAGACTCAGTATCTTTTTCAAGCTGTACAAATTCTCCTCTTGAACCCAAATTAGAATCATGTTTGTCTAGGAAAGAAAACCACAAGTCTAGTCTCATTAAAGAGGAAGTTCTTAAACTTCAGTCCACAAAGCTATGTGAAAATCAAGTCACAGGAACATTACAAAATAAACCAAATACCAACACAGTCATTTCCTCCTTTATACTGTGTAGGAGGATGTGAACACATTTAGATGCTGAAGAAAGAACTTATCTGTTTCTAGCCCCGATTTCCAATTCTCATAAGATTTGGACATTGTGAAACATCTTCACATTATCTGTATCATGAAACAAGATTCTGTAAGAGCACTTAATAGCCATAGAAAAGAAAAAGAAAAAAAAAATAGCCACGAAAAGGAGAGACCCAGTATTCAAAGAAGTGTGAATCCAGGTTCAACAATATATGTTTTCCTCTCTTTTCCCAAATGTATTCTCTTTTCTGCTGGCACTATTATTAGTAAAATGTAAAAAGCATTACTTTTCCTCCATGAACTGGCAGCCACAAAACATGACAAGGAGAATGTAATTTTACTGTATAACAGAAAACCTTCCCTTTTCCTGACTCATGTAATCCATGCTTTCATTTGTTACTGGATACATTTACTCTCAGTGAAATACTGATCTAAGAAGAACCATTGCATACAGTATATTAAAATTATTCCCACATCTAACCTGAGGATTCTGGGATCTGGCTCCCATGAGGCATTTGAGACAATGAGTAATTCTGTGCTTGTACTTTCTCAGCCCCTCTATCTTTGAATTTGTCATTTAATACTGAAAGGGCTTTATTGTGTACGCTTTGCATTACTGGCAAGAGCTAGAGAGTAGAACTGAACTCTCCAGTCAGTGAGCCAGCAAGGGGTACAGAGGGTCTCTTAGGCCACTGGCACTGTGAATGACATAACAGCAGCAGAAGAAATGGCCCTTGTCCTTGAGGAGTTTACAAGAGATTTTATAATGCACGCATACAAGAACCTTTCAAAACAATATGCTTAATCTAGTGGGAATTGTGTGGCACACAGAAGGTGTGCTGGAGGATTTCAAGGGTACAGAATGCTCGAGTCATCTTGCAAGACAAGGCAGCTTCACTGGATTTGAGACTGCACAAAATTTAGATAGAGGGGAGGAGGAAAGACCTTTTCAGGTAAAGACACAAGGGAGAAAAGGCTATTTCCCATTCACTTGTATCT